AACAAGGCCCCAAACCCGACACCCTCAGACCGAAACCCTAAGCCCTAAACCCCAAACCCTAAACCCTAAACCCTAAACCCCTAAACCCTAAACCCTAAACCCTAAACCCCCAAACCCTAAGCCCCAAAACGTGCCCAAGGCACAGATGTGGATTATGGTGCACTTACGAAGGCCAAGATTACTGCATTCCAGGACCTGGGAGGCCGGCAGACCAGGGGGGGGGGGGGGGGGGGGGGNNTTTGGAGTTTGGTTTAGGGTTTAGGGGTTTGGGTTTAGTGGTTTAGATGTTTAGTTTAGGAATTCAGGGTTTAGGGTTTGGGGGTTTGGGGGTTTGGGGGTTTGGGGGTTTGGGGGTTTAGTTTAGGGTTCGAGGGTTTAGGGTTTGGAGTTTGGGGCTTCAGGGTGCAGTGTTTTGGTTTTGCAACTTCGGAGGGCTGGCCGGGCGCAGGATTTAGGCACCTCAGCGGACCGTACACAGAGAAGCGGCAAGGTTTCTGCAAAGTGTTTAGGGGTTGGGGTTTAGGGTTTAGGGTTTAGGGTTTAGGGTTTGGGGTTTAGGGATGCTTCACTCCGCACGGTACGGTTTGGGGTTTAGGGTCTAGGGTAACAGCTCTTGCCAACATTGGAGCTTAAAGACATAGCCGAACTACTTCTTGAGAAGCTGGTAGATAGCCACAGTAGAACTTGCAGCAACCCTACGCATCCCTGCGCGAATGAGTTGTTTCGAAGGGCTGCGAGTCATTGGACTCTAAGTCCTAGGGCTCCTTAGGAGCACTGGAGAGGGTATTATTATTACTTTTCTCATTCTTATTATGGTGATGATGATGATTATTATTGACATTAACATTACTACCAGTGCTTCTTTAAGTAGCATGGATTTCAGTATCGGGAATACTAGCTACGAGTTCTCATGTGCCGAGAAGACCTTTGCCAAGAGTTGCCTTGACTGTTGTCGTGTGGCATTGCGCCATACAGGTTTAGGGTTTAGGGTTTAGGATCTTAAAGCTCCCGCACGTATGAATCAAAGGCTCAGACTTCGTAAGTCAGGTATGCTTGTAAGTATACCTAGGACCTAGAATCAGGACAAAACCCCAATGGGTACTTCAGGCCCGCACCACAACCTGTTTTACTACATGCCCTGGCCGTTTAAGTAAGGAGAAGGGGTTTCAGCTTGCCGGGATTTTGCTAGCAGCATTGCGAGTTAGTTCTTCACCCGGAGACAAGCCTGAGCGCAAGCGAGTGGAGGTGATCTCCGTCTTCACACCGAAGTCACGGATCTGAAGAAGGACGTTGCACGCTTTAGGATTTAGGGATAGGTAGCACGCACATGCTTTCACCGACGGGCTCCACGCCGTACACGTGGAGATCACATTTCGGAATCTTTGCAATATCCGGACGGCAGATGTGAGATTGCTCGGCTTAGGTGTCGCTTATGCAACTGTGCATACCAGTCCTCCGTTTCAACCCCACGTTCTGGGGCTACTGTCTCGCCAGCAGCAACGGACTTCTTAGGAACTCAGTGAGTTGACGGACCACGCAGAATATGCGACTGTTGGGTTTCGGGCCTCAAGGACAATCAATGCCCAAAACCTTCTCCCGAGTGTGTATTGCAGGACAAGGAGGGCAAGTGGGTCGTGACGACCAAGGTCTGTGGTGCAGGATCAGGACGGCTAGATCTCTTTTTTGTCACTTCTTCGAGGCTTCCCGGAGGTTTTTTCGGTGTCAAAGCTCCGTGCCTCATGATACCTTGTGGTAGATTCCCATGGATTGGTGTGAGGCAGGCCTTCATGATTGCTTGCGGTTGCCGGTTGTCTAGACGAAGTCCATGTCCAAGGCAGATCTGGATGCCTCCCAGCTGAAAGGGGCTGAGTCGAAGTGACAATGATGCTTCTGAAGACGACACCTGCTACAAACTAAGATGCTTCCTGTTCCCGGAAGCAAGTTTGAGCTTCGATAGTTGCATAGGACGTACAGGTATATCAGAAGTGCAGATTAAGGCCCCAAACCCTAAACTCTAAACCATCTTGCGCAGGATGGGCCAAGAACAAGGCCAAGTTTGTTTTCGTCGGTGCGGGAGGCCCCTTCTGCTTGGGATTAGGGTTTCTGGTACAAGGATTGTTTAGCGGTTCAGCTTAACTTAGGGTTTTCGGGTTTTCGGGTTTAGGGTTAGTGTTTCGGGGTTTGGGGCTTCAGAGTCTTAGTAAACCTAGTGTGTAGGATTCGGGGTTCGGGTTTAGGATTCAGGATTAGGGCACACGGGCCAGAGTCAATTGAATTGAATACTAGGAATTCCTTACAAGCACACGTCTCGGTAGCGAGGATAATCTAGGGTGACCCTGCACTTTCACAAATGAGGCTCGACAGCTTTAAGCCTGAAGCCCGAAACCCTACCCCAAAAACCCTAAACCCTTAACCCCCAAAACCTAAACCGTAAGCCCTAAACCCAAAAACCTACACCCTACACCCTAAACCCTAAGAAACCTAAACCCTCAACCCAAAACCTTAAACCCTAAAACCTAAAACCCTGAAGCCCTGAGCTTCCTGAGCCCTGACCCTGAACCCTGCTTGGAGGGTCGGGGGACTTAGTAAATGGTAGACTTATAAGTACTATAACCCCAATTAGGGTCCCTTTTAGGGTACTTATAAGTCTACTTATTACCCACTTACTAAGTCTCCCGACCCTCCAAGTAAGTTCGAAAGCCTTGCCGAACTTGAAGAGATGGACCCTGAGCCTCCAAAGCACTGAAGCCTCCTCAGGCTTTCAAGGCTCTAGGGTTTAGCGGTTTAGGGTTTAGGAGTTTAGGCTTTAGGGTTCAGGGTTTAGGGTTTAGGGTTTAGGGTTTAGGGTTTAGGATCTAGGATTTAGTGTTTGGGGTTTAGTGTTTAGGGTTTAGGGTTTAGGCTTCAGGGTTTCGGGTCTAGGACCTCTGGGCACCAACACCGAAGCCCTCAACTCCGAATCCAAAGCCCGGGGTCTTCGAAGTCTTCCTATAGTCTCCCTTGTAGTTCCTTCTTGGGGATCATATATACACATAGGCCCCAAAGTAGTTCCTTTTTGGGGTTCACATATAGAATCCTATAAGGTAACCCCCAAAAAGGAACTACTATGGGGCCTATGGGTAGTTGGTTAAACCAAAAAAAGGAACTACAATGGAGACTCTAGGTTGCATGCCAGGCCGGAGTTTCGGGTGCAGTGTTTAGGGTCGAAGCCCTAAACCTCCTAGGTTTAGTGATTTTGGTTTAGGGTTAAGGGTTTAGGGTTTAGGGTCCAAGGTTTAGGGTTTTGGGCTTAAGGTTTAGGGTTTCGGGTTAGGGTTTAGGGTTTAGGAATTTAGGGCCCTAAATCCTGA